AGGAAGAAGGGGGGGGAAAGGGAAAAAAGGGGGGAAGGGGGAAAGAGGAAAAAAAAGGGAAGGGGAAAAAGAGGAAAAAGAGGAAAAAGGGGGAAAAAGGGGAAAAAAGTGGGAAGAAAGGGGGGAAAAGGGGAAAAAAGGGGGGATAGGGGAAAATGGGAAAAAAGAGGGGGGAAGGAAAAAGGGGAAAAGGGGAAAAAGGGAAAAGGAAAGAAGGGGGAAAGGGGGGAAATTGGAAAAAAGGGGCAAAAGGGGGAAAATAGGGGGGAAGGCGGAAAAGGGGAGAAAAGGGAAAAGGGAAAGAAAGGGCAAAAAGGAAATGGGGGAAACAGGGAAAAGGGAAAAAGGGAAAGGGGGGGAAAGGGGGGAAAACAGGGGAAAAAGGAAAAAGGGAAAAGGGAAAAAAGAGAAAAGGGGAAAAAAGGGAAAGAAAGGGGGAAAGGGAAATAGGGAAATGGGGGGAAAGGGGGAAAAGAGGAAAAAGGGAAAAGGGAAAAAAGGGAAAAGGGAAAGGAAGGGAAAAGGGGAAATAGGGAAATGGGGGAAAAGGGGGAAAACAGGGAAAAAAAGGAAAAAGGGAAAAGGAAAAGAAATGGAAAAAAGGAAATAGGGAAATGGGGGACAGAGGGAAAAAGGGGAAAAAAAGGAAAAAGGGAAAAGGGAAAAAGGGGAAAAAGGAAATCGGGAAATGGGGGGAAAGGAGGAAAACAGGGAAAAAAGGAAAAAGGGAAAAAGGAAAAGAAAGGGAAAAAAGGAAATTGGGAAATGGGGGGAAAGAGGGGAAAGAGGGGAAAAAAGGAAAAAGGGAAAAAAAGGAAAAAGGAAAAAAGGAAAAGAAAGGGGGAAAAGGAAATCGGGAAATGGGGGGAAAGGAGGAAAACAGGGAAAAAAGGAAAAAGGAAAAAAGGAAAAGAAAGGGGGAAAAGGAAATCGGGAAACGGGGGAAAGAGGGAAAAAGGGGAAAAAAAGGAAAAAGGGGAAAAAGGAAAAAGGGAAAAGGAAAAGAAAGGGAAAAGAGGAAATAGGGAAATGGGGGAAAGAGGGA